TGCCCCCAAAAAAGCGGCGCAACCTCTTCACGTCAAAACTTCCTGAAATGTCAATATTTCACGTCATTTCAACAACACGTGGATTCCCTCTATTTAGTGCCGTTTGCTCCAACCCGTGTTCACACAGAAGAGCCCCTCTCTACCCTCCCCTCCTGCGGCACTTTGCCTTAAATTTTTACTGCGAGAAGAGTTGAGCACTCTCTTCCCTCTCTGTACACACGAACTAGCGCTATACACTAGGCCAGAAGCGGAAGCGAGAGAAAAACTCACTTTGCAAGAAAAGCTCGCTTACGCCGGGATTCGAACCCCTGACCTGACCCCCAGAAGGTTTCGAGGATACCAACTAGACCACCGGGGCGACCGGTGTTTGCTTCACAGCAGGGTGGACCAGACGCCGAACGATGTCCGCCTATTACGGCAGGCAACGACCATGACTGGATGGGATACCTCCTGCGACGGCGAGCCATACTACTATTATTACTATGCGATGCAAATATCCGTTCAGGTGTGGTGCGCCTGTCACATGTCCACCAACAGGTAGGTACACGCAGACCTCACGCTTTTGTCTCTGTAGCTAGTTGTTGCCGCGCAAAAGCTCTCCTCGGGGATCTTCCACGTCGTACATACTACTGCGGCTTGTATTGTACTACTGTACATAGAAGTCGTGATTGGAGTGTGGAGTTACTTGTGTTGTCACGGCAGCTTCCACGCACACTTACTTTCCTACCGGTGCTTGTGTGTCGATTGGAATGTTGTGGATCGATATACAGCAGTCGGATTCTCGGGTTGTGGGAGCAAAAGTCTGCCTGCAACAACAGTGGAGGCAGTGTCCCAGTTTTCCCACGTGACGAGTTTATTTTTTTATTATGGTTTTTTCCGACTAAGCACCAAGTGTCAATTTCAGGTTGGCATTTTTCTGTGCCACCTTCCTCGTCGGCCTTCTCCATCGTTATGTACATAATGCATACCTCCATTTTTCGGCTTTTCGATTACCGATAGACAAGACTACGGAGTGACATGTCCCTTTCACCCTCGACGGGACCGCGCGCTCGTCGAGTGCGGGAATTCTTCACCACTTCCTTGCCTCTCCCAACACCGTCCCTTCTTTCCGCTCCTACATATCCTCTCCCCTTCTTCTTCTTCTTTCCTTCCTCCCGGACACTCACCACCATCCGTCCTGGATGCTGGCCCCCAGCCCCATTGCGGGGCGGGGGGCCAATCCTTAACCCTAGTTGATTGATAGTAGGAGGCAAAGTACATGTTCATGCATTTGAAACGCATACAGAGTCGAACAACGTGTTACAAAGCCTCGACCACCTCTCTCCGCGACCATGAGAAGTCCCATGAATCTGTTGTACAACGCGAACCGTCTACCTCCGGCTGCCGCTCTCATACATCAACATCGTTTACTGCTGCTGCTGTGCCGTAGGGCACACGCATTTTGCCTACATTGAAGGGAACTCTACATGTATGTCAGCGGTGCAGATTTGGAAACGTACTCCGGAGTATGCTGAAAGGAACTACATTCTAGCCTTGCGCAGAACCCCCCTGCTTCTACAGCAGTTGGCGCGGTGATGTGTGTGTATTCGTCTGCGTGTTACTAGCAGGACGGCGCGAACCAGCTGAACTAATATGCGCCAGTCTCCGTGCGGTTGAAAACAGAATGCTTCAAACGGCCACTTGATCTGGGAGGTGTCGTGGGGGAGGCTAAGCTACTCTGCAGATTGAACATAGAGACGGTATCAACAGAGGAACACGGCACGGGTTTACCAAGGCTGCTACTTTGCACTCACGCACACGTGTGTGTTCGTTTCTGGAGCGCTCTCACGTTATCCTTGCATCCTCCTCCTTGCATTTTCCCACCAGTTTCCCCACAATTCCACTTTTTTCTGGCGGCTCTGCCTCGCTATTCCCGCCGCGTTTGTTGTGAGGAAGGTGTGTTGTGTGCTGTGTGTAAGTGAAAGGACCGAGGGAGCGACACACCGGCAGCAGTCCCTCACTGACAAGCACTCAGTGGGGTCAACCCCTATAGTGGGGTCAACCCCCTCTACAGTGGGGTGATCCACAAAAAAAACGAAATCGACCCTCATATATCGGAGCCCCCTCTTACTACCTCTTATATCCGAGCCAACACTGCTGTACGTAAGTTTGTGTCTTACGCCGCATGCCAAGGGATGCCAACAGCCACCCCATACCCGCGTCCTCAGACCATACCAATTTGTGTCGTATGGTGCATGCTATGGGATGCCGTTCATGATTCATATTGGGCGGGGGGGTTCGTGGTGTGATGGCGATTTTTAGGGCAGCAGTGGACGGGGAGGTGGGGTCAAAACAGGTTGGTTTGGGTGGTGGTTGTGATGGGGGAAAAGGGGAAATTCGGTGCAAATCTACAAATCTAGGTACCCGACCACCCGCCTGGCCTTCTCTCCGAAACGAGAAACGAGCGAGATCGGGTGTGTGTCCACCTCCGCCCACCGTGGAAGCGTCTCGGAATTCGAGTGCGGGGCGTTGCTAACGTGTGTTCGTGAGCGAGCATGGTCTGCTCTGTAGTGGGCTTTTGGTCGAAGGACCCAGCCATTTTCGGGTAGGGGGAAGTAAAATCGGGTGGGTGAGTAGCCAAGATCGGGTGCACCCGGCGGGAATTGTCAAGGCCGGGTAGGGGCGGGTGTCGTCCAATGAGATGGCGCCAGGAGGGCGCTGCCAGCTGCGTAACATAATGGAACCCGATAACGTCACGGCTCGGTACGCTTGGCCAAGCATCGGTTCCAAAATTCAAATTTTTGCGCTTTCTGTTCGGATCGGGTTTACCCGATTTTGGCCACTCAAGCTTGGGCCACTGCTCTTTTTCTTGCGTACACTCTCTACGTAAGTGCCGTGTTCAGCAATCTGTTTTTTTCATAAGAGTGAGATGGATTCATTGGGTCACATGACAAAAAAATACAATAATACGAATGGTTCACAACCAAGCATCAACGAATACGTTACATGCACGGACGTGTGTGTATGCAGGCTACATTTCAGGCGCAGGGCCGAAACGTCGTGGGTATCTAGCCCGTCTGCAAACGTGCGCGCGTGTGTGTGTCAATGAATATACGCACAGAGTACGTACCTAGATACGTACATTCCATAGCTCGTTGACTACTACTCCTGTTGACCGTGAGGAGGAGAAAAATATTTCACGGCTGGAGACATGTCACACGTGTTTTGCTGCTGAATGCTACTGCGTGTGCCTCGTCAGGAAAAGAGCCGACCCGAAGAGAACAGAATGGGTGATGGTGTCACTGCTCGACGTTGACCTTACCTCCTCCGAAAGCCGTCCAAAAGGGGTCGCGAATCTTTTTTGAATGAACAGCCCGGCGTACAATGTCCGGGATGCAGGCGCGATCGCCCGATTTGGGCGTACTTCGCGGTGGTGTAGCGCGCGACGCGCGCGACCCCCTGGCCCCGCGACGGGCAGTCGGTTGTGGAAAGAACTTTCTGGTGGACATCGCGAACAGGAGACATCCACCGAAGCTCTTGCGCGGGCCAGCCGAAAAATCTCCTCTACCGTCTTGCGCCGAGGGTTGGGCCTAATCCCGATACTTTTCTGACAGCGATCCGATCCTGCACTCCCAGAGCCCGAGAGCTGAAGCAAAAGTGCCTTCTCATCTATGCCCTGCGCTGTGGTGCGTATGCGTGCACTTGTTTCTGTTCCCGCACACACCTGCATACCAGGTGGCACCGGATAGCACACACCCTGGGCCGATTTTGAATACTACGACGGAAGGAAGCGAATGTGATGTGTAAATCCACCGATTGTGCACTATCAGTGGAAAACTCTCGACGAGGTGGCGGCAACAATGCCAGCGCCGCTCTTTTGCCGTAGTTGTGTAATCGAGCCTTGAAAAATGGCCAACGGGTGTGATATCTTCTGTCATATGTCACCTACCTATGGAACTCATTCAGGACGTGGGTGTTGACCAAGTCAAGCCTCGCGAGGGAGACCCAATATTTGACAAACATGCCGAGTATTTGTCAATCGTTGGTGTATCGTGACGATTGGTCGTGTATTTTTCGCCCGTTTTCCGTAAAAAACATCAACGTTGCATGTTTTTGCGCTCATTTAGTGCAAAACATCACCATTGCATGATATTGATAGAGCTAGTCCGGGTGGGACAATAGCTTGCCAGCGAAAATCCCTAGTAGCGCAAAAGAGAGTTACTCGGTGATTTTTCTAAAACTTTGCTTTTCATTTGAATTTGAATCCGAAGCAGCACCATCAGAAGAGGCAACAGTGCACGCTCCAACGACGCAACTTCCGTGTACATGCGATCAGACTTGGCAAAGAAAAGCGTGTGCTACAACTGTAACCTCTGCGAACTGTAGACGAGAAATGGTTGCTGTGGGGCATTCTATGATAGACAGCGGTTATGTTGGCAAGAGTCAGTGGTGAAAGCGACGAGGCGTGGAGATTTTGAACAACTCAAGAAGCAATATGAACATATTATCGCTAGGCTACAAAGGGTAGCCACCCCAGGGAAATGATGTTGAACCTGACGTACCAATATCATAGGTACGCAGGGGCGACGGGGCAAGCTCCGAAGAAGCAAGACGATTGCGGGGAGGATTTTTGCCATGTGATCAGCTTCAATTGCAGTTGGTTGTCGTTGGTAGGGTTGGCACCGCCTATATATGTAGACGCGCCGTGCAAGGCGTACGAGAGAGCGCGCGTAGATTGCCGCGGAATCGAGGGCCCCCTTCCCTCCCTCCCTCCATCCCTTGACGAAGTACTTCATCTTCACAAGAATAATTGCAGGTCGTCCGCCTAACACGGGGACACAAAATTCCTTCCCCGTGAAACCATACGGCAGGGTACGGTGTCAATACTGCGGAAACAAATATCAGCGACCGCAGGGGAATCCACCACGTCACCGGCGCCATTGGATGGGCGCATCGATCCCCGCAGCGGAACGGCATCTGGGGTGGGGGCGGCGGGTTTCGGCAATGACGAGGGCGGGAGAATGCTGGCGACGGCGGGCACGCCCGCGACCGTGGCAGCAGCGGACGAGAAGTGGCCGCCGCTTCTTCCGGAGTCCGTCCTCCGAGGTTTGGCGTACGGCATGGTGAATGGTATCCTCGTGCCGCCGGTAATGGTGAGGGAGGTTGGGGGTGGGGGAGGCGAGGTGTATTGCACTGTCTGTCAAATATTTAAGATGCACACAACCCGCTCCTTGAGAGAGGAGAGGGAGAGATGCTTGTGGGTTGCCGTCTACTCCAGCGTCGGTGTTTTCGTGGCATCTGCTTTATAGGTGCTCCCGCATGCGTCGGCTCGAGAGCAAGTCGGTTGAACCTCCAAGATGTTCTCCGTAGATGGAGTCGTCTTCACGGGGCGTCTTTTTTGCCATAAGATGCACACAAGGGTAGACGAACTTGACTCGCGGTAGGGAGTGCTGGAGGAGAAGCGGAGGGGTTGGGCGGGATGCTTCGTACACACTTGGTCCGTGCGTGGCCCCCCCTTCATACATCACCAATTGGTGATATGCTGCCGTTTACTATGTAGTACGAATTACGCTTGTTTTCTCCCTCTCACCGCAAAGACTTCAGCACATCCCCTTCGACTACTCTATGTTTATCTACTAAGAATTACAGCGGCCAGTTAGCACACCCCACCCAAGGCAAATGAATAGCCAAGGTAGTACGAGAGGTGCTTCATATGTGTCGTCTTGAACTACCCGCGTCTAGCTTCCAGCTTGAGTCTATCCTGCCGCGGCCGGCTTAGCCCCTTGGCCCGTCGCCCTGATCCCGTTATCCGTGCCCCCTGCTTGCCCTTGACAAATTCGAAGGCGAGCTTTGCCGCGATGATATTTAGGGATCCGGCGTTTACGCCCCATCTTCCCAAGTAAGCATTCGCGTATATGGTGCACGCACGTAGCTTGACCCGCGCGTACAATGTTTTCAGATCAGTGCTACGCCCATAATGGAGGGGGGTAGGGTGCCCCGTATCCGCACATCTTCCCCCTCGCGACGCACCACGTGCGATTCCGATCGCACGCTATGGCAGCCCGCCAGCTAGCCCTCCTAGCGAGTCTCGTGAAGGATAGAACATGGATGCCGCAATATCAACTTGCATTTCCAGCGTCGCCCTCACCACCGTGAGGACATTCATATAACGCCGAAAAGAGCGCCGAAAAGCTAAGTCAGGCGCCTATTGAAGATCCCCTCCACCACCCTCGCGCATCTGGAGAGTCGAGGCGGTCACTGCCCCCGCCGCGGGCCTCCCGCCTCCCTCACTTGGCAAATGAAGTGCATGGTCACAGTTGACTCGGGCCAGACGTAAGTTGTACCACCGCATCCGCCCCCTACCCCCCCCAAATGATAAACCTTGTTATATTGCCGTCGTTGTTTATATACTTTTATCAGCTGTTACATCAACTTATAACACGTGTTGGTGCGCGTCTTTCCTTGCGCCAGGCTAGTGAAATTGGTCGTGTTTAGCGCCGCCGTTCACATGGCCTGCTTCGGGACCCTGTCCAGGCTAAAGTTCGCCGTTGGGGCGGTTCAGGTGAAACACGACATGACGGGGTGTTGGAGTCGGAAGATAGCAGCAGTCGATGTTTGGTATTATAGGTGCATGCTGCTGCGATTTGTGTTTCAAGCTCATCCCCTCCCCCCGGCGCTGCTTGTGTGCCATGTTCCTGATGTTCACAACAGCACCATCAGCATCGCCTCAAGCACGTAGTACATTCTCTGTAGTAGGCATGCCGCCTCGTCCATCCCGCAAATACCCAACCTGTGGTGGACCTGGTTTGGAACAGAAAACGCAAGGGTGATGACCAGCTTCTGGCTCATTCTTGGGAAATAAAGCTTGGGCCGGCGAAAACCCGACGTATCACCCCTCCGCCCCGGCCTTGTAGGGACGCGACGTCAATGGTCTACCGACCACGGCATCCGTTTATATGAGTACACCCCTCTTCCTGCTGGTGTGTTATGTTCCTCAGTCGATGGGCGTTCCCAGCGGCAACCTCAATATCAAGCCCGTACAACATAAGAAGAATCGCCCGCCTCGCTCATGCCGCGCGTACCCCCTATGGTGATCTGATCTCCGCTTTCGGTCCCCCCCGACGACGTTGTCGTTCCTCCTTTTGCCCTTTGTTTGCTTGTGCTTTCAGGACGCCGGTCTGGTATTTCTGTCTGCAATCTCCTCGGCGGTGGTAGCCTTTTCTAAAGAGCAAGGAGTGGATGAGGCTGGTATGCTCAGCACCTGTGAGTCTCATGCTAATGTTTGTGTCTACTTGTTTTTTGTACGGAGCCCCCCGGCAGTGTGTCAGCCATCGTTTTTCAAGCGTTGCCGCAAGCGGCGACATGCGAGTACAGCGGTTTTCTTTCTTCCAATTGAGCTCTTCGCAGCACGCCCGCCGAAAGCTCTAGGGCGCCACCGCAGAGCCGCAAGAACCCTCGTTGTGCTGAGCCGCAAGAAACCCTCGTTGTGCTGTCCTCAGAGGTAGGGTTAGGGTTAGGGTTGGGGTTAGAGTTAAGGAGGAGGGAGTAGGATGAAGGGGCTGGACGAGGATCGGTGTGGAGTAGCATGTATGCCCCCAGTTCGAACACGTTGTGGTAAAAGTAAAATGGGGGGCAAGTGGCTGTGGCCTTTCTACTGGAATGAAGTATTCTCGAGTTTTGAATATCGGTTCGCTGGGCGGGTGTCATCTTGCGTCACCTACGGTGGTTGCATGACATCGCCGTCCGCGAACACTGCCGGTGCAGGAGAGGTTATGAACGAGAACACACGCGGCGCACGTGATCTTGTTTAGGCGTTTGGTACCAACGTATCGTTCACCTCGAAGGATCTTTGGTTCACGCGATTTGGGGGACGTCGCGTACCTTGATGATCACCGAGTCGCTTTGCCCGCACCCAAATCTCCTCGCGGGACCAAATCAGCCGTGGCGCTTGGTTCACATGTGTGAGGGAAGGGCCGTGACGCCAAGTCACTATTGTTGTCGAATAAATCTGCCTGCCTGCCTCACCGCGATGCCTGTCGATGTATGCTCTTGCTAAGGAATTTCGTCCTGTGGCCAGCGCCCGGCATAGACCTCGGCTCGTACAATTTATCTTGACTCGCCCAAGAGGATTGATAATGTTTTTAAATTTGCAAGGTTGCTTTCACCCCCCATTCTTCTCACTGTTTTGGGGGGTTCACCATAGGTGACACGAGGTACCACACCCCCTGGATCGATTTTCAAAGCTTGGTTACTCCGCAGCAGAAAGATCGCCAGTTCTTTCCGAAGACGCATCAAATTGAGTTAGCATCCTCTTCTTCTTGGGAGTAGTGGAGTTTTGGAAGTCGGCCCAGGGGGTGTTGTATCTGGGTCTCCTACGGTAGTATCTTCCTTCGTTCTTGATGTTTTTCGACATCATCTCTCTTCCGTGTCCTTCTATCTGATTGTTTTTCTCATTCCTGGCCACATTTTTCTTGTCTTGGTCTTTTTTCGACAGCTTGTTTCGTGTTGTGCACGTGCACCGGTCTTCTTGGCTTGGCCCTCGTCGTCCTCGGGGGGCTGAAGCTGGCCAGCGTGGTGCAGTACCTTCCAATGCCCGTCATCGGCGGCTACTTGGCCTACATCGGTTGGTTCTGCGGCGAGGCGGGCTTGGCGTTCGCGTCCGGGGTGAGGGAGACAGACAGACAGACAGACAGACAGACAACCAGACAGACAGACACACACACACACACACAGAGCCGGGGGGGGGGGGGGGGGGCCCCAAGGAAAAAAAAAAAGGGCCCCCATTCCAACTCCCCTTATTTTTTTTTTTCCCCCAAATTTTCCAATTTTGCTTTTTAACCCCCCCCCCCCCCCCCCTGGCAAACCCCCGGGGACCAACCCTATTTTTTTGGACCAAGGAAAAAAAAAAAAAAAAACCCGTTTCCGTATTTTTGGCATGCAAGCCAAACTGAAGGCCAAATTCCTTTGGGGCAAAATCCCCCCCCCCCCCCCCTTTCGGGGGTAACCCCCACCAATACCCAAAAAACCTTTTTGGTTTCCCA